TGAGGTATAATACCGGAAGACTAAACCAAGATGGGAAAGACAGGGTGTGGTCCCACCGTTGCTGATTAAAAGTCATCAGAAGAATTATAATACTAGTAAAATATATTTGTATCTTACTTGGGAACAGGACAGAAGGGATCCTTGAAGAGATTTGTCATTTGTGTGCTGTTGAAACAAGGGTTGCATGCTGCAGTAAAAGAAGGAAGCATGCACATATTGAATCCTGTATTTGGTCTTGGCAGTGAGACTGCAACCTAAAATAGATATCTGAGAGAGATGACATGAGCCGTGCCTCAGATGTGCCTCTTTTCTCCCCTTGCGGTAATGGGAGCATAGGATGTCATCTCACATGTAAGAAAATGAATTCCATCTCAGCTGAAGACCTGATTATCACAGGGACCAGAGGAGTCCCAGTCAGCTGCCAGAGAGACTGTAGGGTCTGCGGGTCTCTAACGGTGAGACCTGTATGTGCATGTGTGCGCATGTGTGTGTACGCACGCACACATCTGTGTGAGCAAAGTAATCTCAGGGAGAGATAGTGTTGGGTCAGGGAGACTTTAAACACAATAAAGGTAAAATAAATCATCTCCCATTTCCCTTTTCTGTCTATCCACCTACATGTTTGAATATTTGTCTTCCTAGAGTTTATTCAAAATCCAATGAAGTAATATTTAATAATTCTTCTAATTTAGGAATTAAGATTTTTTTTTTCTGTTTACTTACATTTTAACTAGATGAAGAAAAGCTTTCTGAAACAAGTTAAAGCTGACAATAAAGAAAAAAGATAAATATACGATGATGGAGAATTTTGTTGATTTATTTGGTCACATAGTATCAGTATCACAGGATCTACACAGAAATCGAAAATTTCAGAAAAAAACACATTGTTGAATGGGTGCTCATGCCCCAAGTTTCTTCCTCTACCTAGAATTCCCATGAAGCAAACTTTTTTTTCCTGATCCATGGGATATCCATCCTTGCAGCACACTTAATAGGAAGCAAAGACTGCTGAACAACAGCAGCCACTTGTCCTGAATGATATTCCACAATAAACATGTTATCTCAGTTAGATTTTTGTAAAACTGTGGTAAACCCATGGATGATTGCCACACCACAGTTGCAAAGATGCTGAAAGGGGATAAATCATTAATAGCTCTTTCTTTGACACACTAGGCAAAATACACAATTAATTACAGAAAGTCAAGCTCAGGAAAACAGTCTTTTGATAAAAAGCAAGGAAAAAAAAAAAGGGAAGCTATGCCACCTCTTTCTACTGGTAGGGTATGGTAGTTCTTTCAGATGGGATGCATCTATTCCTATTTAGATATCCAGACTAAAAAAGAAATATGGACACCATGTTTCTATATGAACTATTGCAGCTACATTAAGTAGCTATCTATCTCAGCTGTTATTTGCATTGTAGGCACCAAATATTAGGAGAATGAAGTCCATCATTTAGACAAGAGATAAGCAATAAAAGAATCCACAATGTGAAGTTTATCTCAGATGATTTTGGGAGGGCGGGATGCTTGTAATATTAATGATCACTCCTTTTACTTTATCTCTTCATTTCAACCAAAATATCCAAGATATGATGATTTATTTTACTTGGTCTCAGCATTACTTAGTAGACAGTTTGTGTTTCCAGTATCACGGAGGTCAGAGGTACACAGCAGTCTTCAAAACAGAATGGCTAATGAAAGGAATTATAAGGTGCAACACTGGGAATATGAGAAACTAGCTAATAGCCTATTGTTATTATTGCTATTATTACTATTTCTGTCTTGGAATAAGCTTATTAGCTCCTTGCTCAAAATATTCAGTTTCATACACAAGAGATAATCGTCCTAGTGGCAGCCAGGAAATACTTAGGCTTCAAAAGCAAGGCTAAGAATTTAGAGTAAGGAATATGAAAAGAGATGAGCTGCAAAGGAGGAGGTGTATAATAGACTCTTCCCCAGTACATCACCAGGACGAACACAGAGGAGCATCTCTTTTCCTGGGGTAAACTGTATTGCATATTTTTTACATACAATGTTTGACTTAAAGATGCAGAGAGAACAAGGTTGAAAAAGACAAGAGCTGTAGATCAGAGATGAGAGAATTTCAAGAAAGCTTTATGTTGTATTTTTTTGAAACATTGACTTATGTTTGCTGTCTAAAAGTCCTATTAATACAAGAGGCAGTGAAGAGGAAGGAATTGTATTATTTTCGCTTGTGTACCATGAATCATTCTCCCTAGTTATCTGCGTATCTGTCAATGTATCTGTCTGTCTATCCAGTCACTTTTAACTTGTTCCTCACTTTCATGTTAGAGGTAGGTCAGCTCACTGTTATTTTGCTCTCTCCTATGAAGAGTATACATACATGAACATTAGTTTATTGTTATTTTATTAGAGTATTTCCTGCTAACAAACTCATTCAATATATTTTAGTGCCATTTTCTAGGGAGAAGATACTAGAATTGCAAAAAGCTAACACCACCTTAAGAAAAGCAACAACATTTTTTCTTTGGTGAGTACACAAATCCCAAACAAGTAATTCAGTGAATGTATGTGGTTTTTTGAAGTAGCGTTGAGTTAGTGTTCACATTCATGATCTAGGCTTTTTGTATAGCCAAAGGAAACAACTTGGCTGTTCAAGGGGTGACTCAGAATATGTGTTCAAGACGAGCAGAATGACTTTGCAATTAAAGGTGCTAGTCTCCACTAATTATCTTATCTGCTATCTGCTACAACTGAGCTCTGGGCTCATTTTAAAATTCACAGGAAAAAAATAGAAACTTTCATAGTACTATGATTTTTGTTAAGTTCCTATATAAATGTGAGGATAATATAAATGTAAGAATAATGCTATTAAATTCACTGTAAGACTAGTGAATAACACTACAAAATTTCTCTCAATGGGTTTAAAATGGCAGTCTGCAATGACTGGTGTCATCAAGGCTGTAGAAGACTGAAAGACATTCCATCTTTAATATCAAATTGCTAGATCAATTTCACTATAATGACTCAGCTCTCTCAGCTTATCTTCTTATTTATTTTTTTCATTTTAGCTTTCAAAACTAGAATGGTTGAGAAAAATATAGTTTGAATTTGACATTTGAAAAAAAAATTGATTTCTTGAATAACTACTGGATTGTTTTTCCCTCCACAAAACTAGTTTGTATTCATACAAATGAGTAGAAAAGGTTTTAGAAGTGATCATAAAATCCTCTCCATTGCAGAATTTTTTTGATGTCACTTTCTTTTAAACATCAGGGTGTGTCTCTTCTGTAAATGGAGAAGGGGGGAAAAGTTATGAAAAGTCTACTTATTTCTCATATCTTAGGTATCATCTTCTAGACACTCCTTTTCTTTTTATTTTTCCTGATAAAATAACAGGAGGATCTAAGCAACTAGTTTTGATTTTTGTGACTAGCTTTTAGATAAATCCAACAGGGAGATAGTATCCCACTGGTTGTTACCTAAGAACTTGTTGATAACAATTTTTTTCTGAAAAGTAGTGAGTTTCCCATTTCCAGACTCAAGTGCCTAAATGAAAGAAACCAAGATGTTGGTAATGGTTTAAACCAAAAGAATTCATTGCTGTGTTGTAGGACATCATGTGACACACTGCAAAGGCCTTTGAGCTTCTCATAGTGCCATGATAGCCCCGGGATCAAACTCACACTCACATCTAATCTCCCTGAGTGCCAAAAGCATGGCCTGAATCTGCCTGAACTCAGGAGTAAACCACCTGGCTCTTTAGAGAGGCCGACCAAAGCAAAGGTGGGTGGTGGAAGATGTGGGAACTGGCTCATAGTGTAGATCTGCTTCTTGAGATGCTGAAGGTGCAAACTGGGTGGAGATACTTGGTTCTGAGAACTTGAGTCTGAACTCTATGAGCTACCAAAGGGAAGGTGAATGTGGTCCATCTCAATCCTTGGCCAAGATAGTTTTCTAGACTGTTTGCTGAGTTGAAAACAACTATATATCTGAGGTGCATCATATGTTTTTGTGCATCTTGTGACATCTCTCCTCACAGACTATGTTGTTAGTTATGAGACTAACAATACAACAATGAGGAAAATATTATATTTAGGACTACTACTTTTCCTGATTAATCCCCACTGATGTATTAAAGTGTGTAATAGGAAACTTTGCTTAGCAAAGTGTATGCGTATAGGAAATATTCCTTGAAAGTCCCTGCTTTAAAATACAATTATCTGTCATGTGGTCAACCTCCTGGCAGTAAACATCAGAATGTGAATTCCCCAAACATCCACTTATCCCTGGCTTAGAGTGGAGACCTTAAACACATTCATGTCTGTATGTCTGGAACACAGCCTGTGGGGGTATTCTGCAGCCACAGCCTTTGGACATTTTGGCCGTGAGTCAAACCAGAAACAAATAGAATAGACTTCCTAAGAACTGGGGCAACCTTGCACTGAGTCTAGTTCAGGTAACCCTGAGAGCAGGTCATGAGAGCAGAGGAACAGACTGGTCCAGCCAGAATTGCTGTCATCCTCCCATGTTTGGGCTCTTCTGGGATTTAAGTCTGTTAGGAAGAAAACATATCTTAGACAAGGCAGAAGATTGTAAGGACGTATTCCTTCCCAGGTCTCCCCCTTGTGTGGAGTTTGAAAGGCATTTGTAAGAAGACATGAAGGAGGAGGAGGAAATGTGTGTTGGACTCAGTGGGGAGGACAGCTCGCATCTAACCCTGTCTCCACACCTTTGTTGGAAACCCTGTTTCTCAGCTAGGACTGAAATTGGCTGCACCAGTGCTCCTGACACTGAATACTGCACAAGGTTGTTTGTTTCCCTGTCTGTTACTGGAAGTCAGCTAGTGCATCTTCAGTATGTCCTGATTCCACTTGCTGACATGATGGGTTTTTTTCCCTCGTCTTACAGGTAATGTACTGTGAATGGAAAACCAAACAAGTGCAAGTGAGTTTGTTCTCTTGGGACTTACAAGTGACCCACCACTTCAAAGACTCCTCTTCTTTGTGTTTTCAGTGATTTATTTCATCACTCTATTTGGAAATATTGTGATCATGATTGTGATAAGTACTGATCCTCACCTTCACTCCCCTATGTACTTTTTCCTTTTTCACTTAGCTCTCACAGACATCTGTTATGCCACCACCATTGTTCCTTATATGCTGGTGAATTTCCTAGCCAAGCAGAAAACCATTGACTTCAGTGCTTGTATTATCCAGATGTCCTTAATCCTCCTCTCAGCTGGCAGTGAAATTTTCATGCTCTCAGCTATGGCATATGACCGATACGTTGCCATCTGTAAACCACTACACTACCAAGAGGTTATGAACAAACTTGTCTGCAGCCAGCTGGTGGGGGGTGCATGGACAATGGGGGTCTTGCACTCCATTATAAACACAATGCCAATGCTAAATGTGCAATTCTGCAAGTACACAGAAATTAAGCATTTCAGCTGTGAGTTGCCCCCTCTCTTAACTGCAGCTTGTGGTAGGACCTTCCTCAATAAATTTGTTCTTCTGTCTTCTGCTGTGATCTTTGGGTCAAGCTCCTTTCTGCTCACTCTCATCTCTTACATGTATATCATCGCCACTGTCCTGAAGATACAGTCTGCAAAAGGGAGGCGCAAAGCTTTCTCCACTTGCAGCTCCCACCTCATTGTTGTGGTTTTGCTATACACAACCGCTCTGTTCCAGTACACAAAACCCAATTCAGTCTCATCATTAATTCCAGATCAACTGTTTTCCATCCAGTACAGCATTTTAACCCCCATGCTAAATCCCATCATCTACAGCCTGAAAAATAATGATGTGAAAACAGCTTTGGGCAGAATGTTAGGGAAAATTCAAGTTTCACAATCAGTGTAACTAACTACCTTTAAGCTGTACTTTTCAAATAAATTCAATCTAAAATATGGAGCTATAAAAAAGCAACCTGTCCTATATGTTAAGGGATGTTAAGAGTGGTCATCATCTCCCACAGTTCTGGACCCAAGATGTCCTCCTGCCTGGCCACTGGAGCCCAGTCTGGTGCCCTGGGGATCTGAGATCTCTGCCCAGGCTGACCCCATGGGTGCCGCTTTCCCATCTGCAGGTTCAACTAGTAGCAAAGCTATAGGACATGCCCAGAGAACACTGGCATGGCCGGTCACACAGACTGCCTTCAGCAGCACCTACGTACTGGACCCTCATAACACAAAAGCACATGCCCCCTGCTTCTCTGGGGCTGGTGCAGTCTGGTGCAGGTGTACACACACACACACGACACTCTCAAAATTCACAAGCACATGCACATTCGCACATCCCCTGAGCACCAGCACAGTCTGTCTGCCACCCAGTACCCCTGCCCTGGCCCTCCTACCTGCCCCATGGATTCCCTGCTTGCTGACTGGTCCGGCTTGATGCCCACTGCAAACATGCAACACTCACACCCTCTTTCCCAGAGGCACTCCACACTCCTGGGTACCAGCACGGACCCCCTGCCTACCTGATGCTCCTGCAAGGACCCAGGTCCTTCTGTTTGCCAGCTGGTCAGACTTGAAGTTTGCTGGTGAATACACATGCACATCCCATGCACACACAGTTTGGGGAAGACACAGACACTTGCTCCCCAGCAGCTAGCACCAGGCACACGGGCTGGGACACACGGTCCCACTCCCACCGCCAGTGTGGAGTCTCACACTCACCTCCCTCACCCCAGTCACCCCTAGTAGCTGTTTTTTGGGACACACACTGTTCCCGCCCCAATGCTGGTAGCCAAGACCCCTACTCACACCAGTAACTGACACACAGGCCAAGGGCACCCACACCCCAGTCTGATGCCATAGCTGGCATCCAGTCCACTTGTGCTGGTTCTGTCAGTAGGTGGCACTTACTCCTTGCAGCACTCACGCACAGGACAGAGGGTGAGATTACCTAGACAGATAGTTAACAATAGATCTAATAAGAAAATATGGCAGACTGCAGTGATCAGGCAGAGGCCTTGGTCACACAAGCGTACTGAGCGGTTCCATTCTACACACAGCTACCCCATGTACACCCTGTTCTGTCTATTCCCCCTTTGTTCCTCCTCAGATCCCTTCCCCTGCACATTGCCTCATCAGTTTGCACAGTCCTGCCAACCACCTCCAACATCCTGGAGCCTCAGATTGGAATCTTCATTGGTTCCAAACTCCATGTTTGCCTGCAATTGCTTGATAGCCCATCAATTAGTGTGACTGGAAAGGTTTCTTTTGTGTCTTTGTCCCCATTATGTTTACCTGTCAGGTTTGCTTCTCTGTATAATTTGTTTTCCTTAGTATCACATTTGACAAGGTCCTTGATTAGATAATCTCCCTGAAGGTAACATTCCCACATACCCTCATCAGTTAACGTGACTGATCACATTTGTTCTCATCACTGCCTCCCTTATGGTTTGTTGGCCTAGTTTGTTGCCTCTTGTTTGTTGCCTTCTCCTTTTCTTATTATCTATTTTTGCACTGAAAATGTCCTTGACCAGATATCTGTAAAGGAGCAGATACCCCCCTTCCACATGCCCTTACACTATAGAAATCAGCTGTGTCTATAGGAGTAGGCAGTACCATTTGTTTTTTCACTTCATGTTTTTATTCCCATACTGTCTTTACTGGATTCTTACTCTTTAGCTACTGAGAACTTTCCAGAGGGCAACAACTAATTGGGCAGATGAAATCTGAGGCCATCCCAGTGCTTAGATCAGCTGTTCTATAAGGCTTGTTCTAGGTCCCTGTTCCAGCCACTGCATTCCCTTCACAGCCATTGCAGGTATCTCCTTGCTGCAGTCAGGACTCCTGCTTTCTCAGAGCTGTGTCCCCCAAAACTGCCACAACTTGGTCTCTTCAGAAATGATCTCTTTTCACTTCCATGCTGTCCTGTTGTGCCCTGTCTATGTATGGTCTAACTGCTTTTGTAACCTGGTGGTGTTGTCCTAGCAATGAGTGCTTCTCTGCTAAAGAAAGTCTGGCCTCTTCTGGGCTGCTGCTTTCAGCATCTCTGCAGTAACAGGTTTTCAGTGTAGTGCCCAAAAGCTCAGCTTTTCTTACAACGCTGCTGGCAAGAGCACACTTCAAAGCATTGCACCCTAAAGGACCCACTGCTTTCCTTGGGTTCTCCATGAGCTCAGGGTGACAAGCACAGAGTCCTAGCACTCCCTAGGAATGGGGAATGGAGACTGATTCATACCATCTTCAGCTAAACACCTTAGGCTGGATCTAGCACCACACCTGAATGCATCTCATGCCATTGGAAATGTCTTACGATTCCTCAGAGCAATTTTCATGGCCACAGACACCTAAAGATGAGGGGTAATAAGCAGTAGCTCTATCTGGCTACATCTGCTTCCCTCCCTGACCAACATGACCAGTGTGGAATCACCCCGTGGCCACAGAGAACTGCAACTCTGGACCTGGACAGGGTTGACTGCAACCCCATTCCCTCTGCTGAGCAGCACTGCCAACCTGGGATCCTGCACATAGGGCATTCAGGAGCACGGCTTCAATTTTACCTGGGAAAAGGCTCTCTGGGGAGCAAGGGTGTTGCTAAGGAAAAGCAAGGGAGCACCAGTGTGCGAGAGAGAGGAATAAATTATTTTTTAGTGCGCAGAAGTGTAGCCCACCCCACTAGCGTAGGGGCTTTGTGTTGCAACATACTTCCTGTCTGCAAGCTGGACGGGGCAGCTGCTCCTGCCAGATAATCACAGGCAGGGTCTGTGAACACACGGGGTATGATGTTTTACAACATGGCAGCCTCCGGGGCAAAAAGAGGTGGATAAACAGATCACGTGGCTGGGACTGAGGGCAACACTTTGGAAAAAGTGGGAAATGTGAGTGCCAGTAGGTGTGGGAAATCCACCAGAAGTTGGGGACATGGCACCAGTCACTTTTTGTCTTGGATAAAATTGGTTCCTATATTACCAGTCATGTTTGGCAGCTCTGTGATACGGACTTCTTGAAGAAGAAATACAGGAGGCTTTCTTCCAGACACTGCAAGGAGAAGTGGTGTCCTGGCCATCTCTGGCTGTTTGTGTGAACTAGTGACTCTAACAGTGAGACCACAGTGCGGTTTCCGCTGGGGGGACCCGGGGATGCCCACCAGCTCACAGTCACTGGGTGCTTTTGTGTCTCCAAGACCGAGATCACCATGGTGTAGCCTATGGTGGAGCAGCAGAGTCTCTGCCAGCTCTGGGGGTGTGGGTGCCTGTGTGTCTTTAAGGGTAAGAGCAATTGGGGTACGCTGCTGGGGGACCACATGGGTCCCAGGGAGCCCTGGCTGTTTCTGTGTGGAAGTGCCTGTGTTTCTCTAAGAGCAAGACTACAAGGAATTTGATTATTTGGAACAAGGGGACTCTCCATCAACTCTGGGTGTGTGGTTTCCCACAAGACTTTCTGTAGGTCTCAGAGGTCACCAACTTTCCATCCCAGAGGCCTCCAACAGCCTTTCTGCTTGCCCCAGGAGCCTCTGATGCCTTTCGATGAAGCCCTAGGCCTCCAAGAGACTGTCTGTGTGCCCCAGAGGCTTCCAAGTGCCTTTCTGCTCAACCAAGGGACCCCTGCGAGCCATGGGTAGGCACCCCCTGGGTTTTGGGCCCCTAGGGTTATGGGCCCCTAGGTTCAATACTTCCTAGGTCTAGGAAGTATTGAACTTCCTAGAGTTTGGGGACCCAAGGGCTAGCACCTCCAAGGGTTGTGGACACCTAGGGCTACAGGCCCTTAAGGTTAGCACCTTTTAGGTTTAGGCCTGTAGGATTATATGGGTCTTTAGGGTTCCATAGGGCTCCATAGGCACATAAGGTTACTGGTCCCTGGGGTTTTGGGCCAGCCCTTAAAGTTATGGGCCCTTGGGTAGCCCCTACTACTTTTACTGCCCCAAAGGCTTATGGACCTCTAGGGTAATGTGTCCCTAGGATTATGGGCCCCATAGTTTTATGGGCCCCTACTGTTAGCGCCCAATAGGGTAATGGGTCCATCAGTTTATGAGTTGCTAGGTTTAGCATCCTATTTGTTTAGCAACCCCTAGGGTTGTGGGCCTCTAGGTTTAGCAAACCTAGAGTTATAGGTCCCTATGGTTAGTGACCCCTAGGGTTTTGGGCCCCTTGGGTTATCAGCCCCTAGGGTTATGGGCCCCAATAGTTAGCATCCCTCCAAGCTTAGCACCCCCTGAATTTCTGGGTCCCAAAAATTATGAGCGTGAACGGTTTGCCATCCCTGTAGTTATGGGTGCCAATAAGTATGGGCCTCTAGAGTTATGGCCCCCAAAGTTTTTGGGTCCCTATGGTTATCAACCCCATAGTTATGGTCTCCTATAGTTATGGCCTCCTAGCATTTTGGTCTCCTAGAGTTAAGTTTAATGGCCAATATGCCCCTGGGGTTATGGGCCCCAAAGATTATGGATCTCTAGGGTAAGCCACTCCTAATGTTTGCAACCCCTAAGTTTTGCTTAGGGGTTTGCTCCCCATAGGGTTATGGGCACCTAGTTAGAGTGACCAATAGGTTATGGGTCCCCTACAGCTAGTAAACCCTGGAGTCACAGTCCCCTTGGCTTATGGGTCCCTAAGGTTAGCAACCCCTTGGATTGTGGTCCCCTAGGGTTATAGGCCCCTAAGTGTTATGGCTCCCTAGGCTTAGTGCCTCAAAGGTTACGGGTGCCAAGGGTGGTGCACAATTTGGCTTAGCAGTGCCTCAGGTTATGAGTGCCTAGAGTTATGGGTCCCAGTGTTATTAGACACTAGGTTTATCACACCCCAGGCTTAGTTATCGGTCGCTGGGGTTATGGACAACTAGGCTTAGTGATGTCTTGGGTTATGAGCCCCTTTGGTTACAGGATTAAGATTAAGGCCTAGGATTAAGAACCAC